TCAGAAGAAATAGAAATATTCATCCTAAAATTCATATGGAATTTCAAGGTACTCCAAATAGCCAAAACAATCCTGAAAAAGAACAAAAAAATTGGAGGTCACACACTTCCTGATTCCAAGACTTACTACAAAGCCACAGTAACCAAAACACTTCCATCATTCTAAAAAGTTCCCTTATGCCCCCTTGGCAGTGAGCCATTCTCTATTTCAGCCCTAGGTGATCACTGATTTGCTTTTGTCATAGTTCTGCCTTGTTTAGGACATCACAGAAATGCAGTCATACAGTAGGTAGTCATTTCTGTCTGGCTTTGACTTTACGTGATGTTTTCAAGATTCATTCATGCCATTACACATATGAGTAGTTGTTGTTGAGTAGTTTTCCATTGTATGGATATATTACAATTTTATCCATTCACCAACTAATGAACATTTGGGTTATTTCCAGGGTTGGTTTTTATTGTTTTTGTTGTTTTGTTTTCCTTTCTTTTCTACAGTTTCATTCTGCAGTGTCAAGTTCTAGGTTTTATTTATCCCATTTATAATTAATTGGAATTCTTGAATTTGTGGATTGGTGATTTTTGACACTTTTGAAAAAGTGCCTTTTTGGATATTGCCTCTGCTGTCTCCTCTCTCCCCTTCCCTTCTAGAACTTCATTAGATGTTTGTTAAACCTTCTCTTCCTATCCTCCATATTTCCAATATTTCTCCCATATTCCCTTTTTGTCTCTCTGTACTGCCATTCTGGATAATTTCTTTAGTACTACCTTTCAATACAAACATTTTCTCTTCTTGATCTACCCCTAATATTTCTAGGACCCTGGTAAAAAGTACAAATGAAAGGCCACATCATATAGAAGCACATTTAAAAGCCAGAAATTAAACTAACAAAAAATTAAATAAAATATATTCCCTCCTCCTATCTTGACAAAAACCAGGTTTGAATTTAACATTCTTGGATACTTAGAGCTCTGTGCTCTAATATGGTGGCACAGGGAATGCTGACTCCTAACTGCTAACTCCACACCCTTCTCTTTTTATCCTCAGCTCCATTCCATACTGCAACAACCACTGCATATACATACTTAGACAGCCAACCTACAAATTCAGGTCCCATTATTGCCCCATGAAAGCCATTTCTTGGCAACCCCCTGAAAGTGCAGCTTACCCTCAGGAGGAGAGACCTGGAGAAGAGGTAAGCATAAGGAACTGGAAGTAGGCTTGGGACTATTTGAGGTGGGAATTTCAGGGTCCCTGAAGTATGATCTGTAAGGGGGCATATAGATTTCATATGACTGGCCATTTCCTTAGCCATTCAGATTTCTCGGGGCAGGATGAAGACCAGAGCAATCTCCAAAGTACAGGGCCCAAGGTAAGGGTAGTACTGCTCTCTTTAGCTATGTTCAACTCATCTCTTGAGTCTTTTATTTCATTTAGTATATTGTTAATTTCCAGATGATCTAGTTGGTTCTTTTTAAAATCTGTTGTTTTAGTCATATTTTTAGTTCTTTTATGTTTTACAATATTTAACCATATTTATTTTATATCCTGTGTCTTATATACTAAAATCAGAAGCTTTTGTGGATCTTATTCTAGTATCTGTTGTTCTGGTTGGTTGGCTCTTGCTTTTGGTGCCTCCTTTCTTTGTGTGTTTTCTGATTTTTGAGCTCATATTTCTTAAAATTTATCTTAGAATTTTTCAAATGTTGAATTCTTCAAAGCTTGGAATAAGAGGAGCCCCTCCAAAAAGATTCATGTTTGCTTCTCCCAGGCACCTGAGTACGTGATAAGTCTGGATAACTTTAAATCAAATTTTCAACCCATGTTTTCATGAACCATCCAGGTACTGAAATTTCAGGCTGAAAAGCCATGTGAGGGCTCATCTGTGATTGCACATTCTCAGAAATTTGCCTCCTCATTCCCATTCCATCAATGCCAAAGTTGGTTGGCCTTTCTTCAGGAGAGGGGGTAGATTTCTTCCATCAAGGATGTATTGGGAGGTTTCCTTTTGAAATAGCAGTCTAGAGTAGGCCTTGGGCTTTGTCTCTTGTGGTCTCCTGCCTACAAACTATGAAAATTCACCAAGTTAGGCATATGCCATCTGGAGTCCCACCTTCTTTTGTCCTAACTTCTCTTTACTTTCTTGCCAGCTCATTGAAGCAAGAAGGAAGGTATTTTATCTAGCATTTTTACTTATTTTCCAGAGGAAGGTCAATTGGGATACCTAACCTGCTTTATTGCTCTAAAATTCTAGCACAACCATGACATTTCTCCAGTCTATTTTTCCTAATTCCCACTGCAAATATATTGGCTCATACACAAGTGGTTTCTGGCTCCATCCAAAAGCCTTCCAACTATATTCCCTGCTTCTAGTCTCTCCCCTGTCTCTTCTCCCCATCTCCCATCCATTCAACCAAGCTGTATCAGTTAGAATCTCAGCAAGAAACAGAATTCACCCAAAGAGCTCAAATAAAGATAACTTAATGAAAGGACCAGTTACAGAAAGGCTGACATAGGTAAGTGAGCAAATAAGAGTTGATGAGGCACTTGATAACTAGCTACAGAGGGGATACTAAGGAGACAAAATGAGAAAATAAAGTTTCTAGACCCCAGTGAAAGGTAGAGCCATGGAGGAGGGGCCACTTGCAAGAGCTGTAGCCAGGAATGAATGAAGCTACTTTTGGAGACAGAACATCAGTGGAGGGAACAAGTAGAGAAGAGATGCCAAATTTCACCTTCCATCTGCCTTCTGATAACCTTGCTTATGCCCCTCATTAGTTAAACACAACTATAAGGGAGTCATCAAAGAAGCCGAGATCACTCCCCAGAGGCATAGAGGTTGGCAAAGAAGGGTAGGAAATGAGTCTGAGGGCCAAAAATACCATCACATCATACTTTCTTCAGACCACTTCCAAAGGTCAAATGTGTAGTATGCTAAACTTATACCACCCTCCTATTTAAAATCTGTCAGTGGATTCACATCATCTTCAGGACTCTACACTAGGATATGTGACTGTGCCCCTACTTGTGACTTCATTCCCTAATTCCCTAATTCTTGCCCTAGCCTACAGTCATTTTGAATTATTTCCAGATTTTCCAGTAGTCCATGCTCTCTTATTATGTACATTGCTCATATTCCTTCCTCTTCCTAAGGCAACTTTTTGCATCTTCTTTGTTTGGTAAACTTCTATTCAATCTTCTGAAATCAAAGATTGAGCCATGGAATCATCTCCTTCTGAAATTTTTCTTTTCCAGAATGTTTCCATCACTTCCCTACTGAATCTCATTGTAATACTTAGTTGAACTGAGTGTCCTGACAGAGATATACATTTTAGGTCTTACATACAGCACCTAGTACCATTCCTGGCACATGGTAGGCAACCAATAACAAATTTTCAAATTAATAAAAAACTAAATAAAAATTAAAAACTAAATATTACAAAGGAAAAAAGGTAGTACAGTTATAGGGCTCTTAGAACTTTCAGGTTATGGGGAAAAGTTTTGAAATTGAATTTTCTTTCTCAAATTTATTTGAGACATTTATCTTTTATATAGGCAGGGTAAGATAAGGAAAAGACTAGGCACAGGCCCAAGGGCTTAGAATTTAAATCCTAAAGGTTAATCTTAGATTTGGGCAATGTCCCTCTAGAATGTAAGAAAGACATTGCTTTGATGTTACCTTTGTTTCCAAATACTGCTTTATTTAAATAAGATAATTGAAAATGTGTATTGACCCTTAAATTTCTGGCAAATTCATATTCCAATAACTTTTCCTTTTTTGTATATTAAAAAACCTAACAGCTGTGGAAACCATTCTTGCTTCGTTTCAATAGTGCAAAATGATTGATTTCAATAGTGTAAAATTCTCCCTTTTCAAAAATTCTTGAGAGAAAATCAAAATGCTACCTACTACACTGCAAGGAAGTACTGGAGAATTATTTGCAGTGCTGATAAACATTTATTTATCTTTTTATTTATTCCAACAGTAATCACTTTATTTGTAGACTCAAATGAATAGTCCATGTGTACATGATAAAACTTAGAAGATATGGGGATTAGAAGTCTTTATTGCTGGGGTGCCTGGGTGGCTTATTTGGTTGGACCACCTGACTCTAGACTTTAATTTTGACTCAGGTCTTGATCTCAGGGTGTTGAGTTCAGGCCCAGCATTGGGCTCCAAAGGAAAAAAAAAAAAAAAAGAGTTTTTACTGCAAATTTTCGTAACTGTAACACTCCAGCTAAGCAAGTTTTACAACCGCTCAAGAATACTAGGAAAAACTGAGTAAAGACTTCCAAATCTTTTTCTTTTTTCTTTTTTTAAAGATTTTATTTATTTATTTGACAGAGAAAGATCACAAGTAGGCAGAGAGGCAGGCAGAGAGAGAAGGGGAAGCAGGCTCCCTTCCAAGCAGAGAGCCCGATTCCGGGCGATCCCAGGATCCCGGGATCATGACCTGAGCGGAAGGCAGAGGCTTAACCCACTGAGCCACCCAGGCACCCCCCAAATCTTTTTGTAATTTCTAATTAAAGACAAATGGTTACATATCTGACGGAATGGGTTACACTACATTTTCAAAATTTAGTTTTATATTTTAGCTATTACCTTAGATGCCACATGAAAGCTCTATAAGGCATTTTTTCCTAAAACTGGTGTATATACCCTAAAAAAATGTTCTCCATGTGCAGTGAAATACGTAAGTTCACCCCTGGGAACGAACCCTTCTTAAAATCTGGCCAACGTTGAGTCAAAGATCTTAACATATAACACATACGATTTTGTGAGCACTGACCAACGTAGCAGAACACGTTAAAGGGAAGTCCTGGAAGCTTCTCTCGGGAATACTGAAGGTAGAAGGCCCTGAAGTGGGAAACCGCAAACCTAGAAAAACACTACACGTCCCGGCATGCTTTGCGACTACCAGCGACCATAACTCCCAGAATGCATTGCTGGTGGCACGCAGGATTCCCTTGTAGCTGGGAATTGTAGTTCTCTCCGATCGTCTGCATCGGTATAGGCGAGGGTGTGTGGTTGCTTACCTAGCCGGAGGACATCAGGCGTATTCTTCCAGTTCTTGGAAAAGTGGAAACACTTCGAGACACTAGACTGAGTGGGTTCATTGTCTTATCTCTCGGTTTCTACTTTGCAGAGGTAACTTAAGGAGAGGCTGAAATTCACGCAGCAGGGCTCCACCCCTTCTTTCTGGGAGCGACCTAGTTCTGGTGAAGCTGTTTGTCCCTAAGCTCTCGCCGTAGTAGCCGCCGCCCATCCCTCTTTGTGTGCTTCGGGAAGCCGCGGAGCTAGTGGCTGCGACTATTGGGAGTTGGGAGTGAAGGAGAGAGACGTTATCTGGACGTTGCAGGCGGGAGGACTCTTTCTCCCATCGCGCCAGCTGACAGGTGAGTTGACTATGCTAGACTCAACGCTTTTCGGCCCTATGTGTCTCCTGTCCGGGCTCAAAGGGCGGTTTGGCAGTTCCTGCTGACAGCGCTGCCCGGCCGGGCTCCCGGAGAGGCGGGGAGAGCCAGGTGCGGTGACTCAGGAAGGCCTGGGGAGACGAGACCACTGGTTTCCCTTCTTGACTCACCGGAGGATGGCCTGCGGAGCTTCGAGGCTTGCCGGCGCCCAGTGGCCCCCTCCTAGACGCACTATCCTGGACCGCGCCCTCTTGGTGGTGACCTCAGGGGAAAAGTGACTCCTTTCCACCTTGCCCCTATTTTATAAACAAAAGTCATTCGTACACGGCGTTGACAGCGCCTTCCCTTGGCGTGTACGTTGCAAAGTGCCCGAACGTGGAGGCTGTAGCACAAAATGACAGAGGCTTTCTCTTCCTTGTAGTTTTGAGAAAGTGAGCTTGTCAGTCACGGAGCTTCCGGCCTGGGAGGATGAGCTGGTCAGACTTTGCTGTTGGGCTTTGACTAAAAGTATACTTACTTTGAATATATTTGATAGTTAACCATGGTAAATTTTGTGTTTTGCTTGTCCTGAATATTATTACTGTTACACGTCATTTACGGGAATTTTGTCTGACCGCATATTTTTTAAATCAAAATTTTAGGGATGAATGCAAAACTGGTAATAGATTTGCTCTCTGTCGTATAACCTAAGAGCTCCTTAATGCCAACCCATGTCCTCTGTTTTAAGAGTCTGAGACATTGCGTTAAATCTGGGCATGTGAAGAGCTTACTTGGTGCTAGCTACTTTGTTCAATTCTGAATATTTATGTGCATTTCTTTATAATGTTTTTCAAGACTTAGTAATATATATGCTTCCATATTTAAAAAGTAGAGTTTATATGTTGTCTTTTGATAGCAGTGAACTACATGGCCTCTTGAGACAATTTTCTTCTTGAAGATGTATTTTTTAAAAGAGCGCTACTTTTACCAACGTAATAATGATTGTAAATGATTGTATGTTTTTTAAGGTCACAAACATGTCGGACAAAAGTGAATTAAAGGCAGAATTGGAACGAAAGAAGCAGAGGTTGGCCCAAATCAGAGAGGAAAAGAAGAGAAAAGAAGAAGAAAGGAAGAAAAAGGAAGTATGTTTTATTTTTTTAAGTAAACAATGTAAAATAATTGGATTTAATATCAAATACTTACACCTTTATGTAATACTTTCAGAATAGTTAAAAATCCAGCAGTTGTGACTCAAATATGGCACTGTAGGTGAATTTTACTTTAAAGAAGCCAGGTATGTGAAAATGACAAAATTAATAAATTAAAATATGATTTTTTTACTGAATAAAAATATTTTGTATAGATTGATGCATTTTGAGGATTTGGTTTATAAAACAATCTACATATTTCTCTTCTAGGTGTATGTTTATTATATAAATTAAGGGACATCTGCCTTGTAATAGCTCATAAAATATGGCATTTATATCATAAGTTAGTTTGGAATTTGAATTTCCTTATCTGAATGCTTTGCTAGTCTGCACTGCTAACAATCTGTCAGAATAAATAATAGAAAAGAAAAATATATAATAGTTTATTTAATTGATTAGGGAATTTGTTATCTCTTTCATTATGAAACATTTTCCTTGAAATATTTTTGCCAAGCAGTAGGTCTGATATTACCTTAAGGATAGACCAGGTAGGTATGTCGTCTGATTTTTCACATCACCATTTTATCATGTATGGCAAATATACATTGACCCTGAGCTGGAGATATTTTACTTGTTTCTGTATGGATATGTACATTTTCCCCAACTATTTGGACAGATTTGCAAACTTTTACCACAGGTATGTTTTAAATTAATATGTTTAAATGATCAGCGTAAGATAATTTATCCCAAGTGTGACATTAGTACCAAGGTTTCTATTTGATTGCCAATAACCAAGATTTCTAGAAATCTCTTAATGGAAAAGAAAAATCAGAAAAATTAAAAGTACAATTAATATGCATGCAGCATTTTTATGATGCTGTCAAGGCCTTTGAAGAATTTTCTAATTTATTCTGAACCTTTCTGTGATATATTATTGTAAGAAAGTTGGAGGTTTAAGTTAGCTCTTTGATTAAAAATTAACTGATAGAACCATGTCCGATAGAGCCATTCCACAGTAGTGTCTATAACCTTAAACCCTTCAGTGCTGAGAGCATGTTTGATTTTTGTTTTCTAAGATAGCCATAATTGGCATAAATAGTCTAGGGATATCTACTATATGATCTATAGATGATTTAAAAGTTATAAAACATTACAAGAGATAATTTAATAGTATTAAACAGTGAGTCTAGTAATACATTGCTATAATTACAGGTATAGTGTCAACTTGATAATATAGCCTGTTTGGCTATTGTGATGAAGTCTACTGATGACTTTTTTAAGTTAAAGTGGTATCATAGAATATTATGATTGACAGAATTCACTGTGGATAATCGTATGAGTAATAGTTGTCTAGACAAAATAGGCATCTGAGGTGTATATAGAAAACTTTCCCTTGGAAGGCTTAAATTTCATTTGAGATGTTTTGGATGATCTGAGGTTATTGAGGCTTATCTAGTTTACCTGGAAGATTTCTGCTAAAACTATAAGTGACTGAAATAAAAGCTGGCAATAATTTTGATAACAAATGTTTTGTATTATGCAAAAGTTAATTTTAACTTTACCAAAATCAACCATGTTTTCATTGTCATAAAAATAAGACCTATAATTTAAAAAAACAGAAATAAAAACCTTTTTCCAGGTGAATTTTTGACAAACATCTTGTACATAAAATTGCATAAATACAATGAAGACTTCATACAGAAGTTTGAGGTATTCATACTTGATTTTCAACAAATCACAATGTCCATTTACTTAAAATTTGTTACCTGTTAAGTAATTTTTTTTATAGTGTTGTGGCATTTATATCTAAGCTTTTGTGCCACTGGGGGAGGTTTCCACAATTCCTAACTGTGAATAGCAACTTCATACTGTAGATAAATAGAAGTTGACTGGATTTTTGAATTTACCTATTAGGTAAAAACTTTTGTGGGAACTCCTTGATTACATATCCTTTGGAAATTACTTACTAGAACTCTCCTGGGAATGGTTTTCATGTAATGAGTGTAATGTGCATTCAAAACCAAGTCACCCCCCCCAAGAGTAAACTGTTCATTCATTATTTAAAATATACCTTTTTTTGCAAGCAGAAATGTTACATAGCCTATGTAAATTTAAATTTTCAACTTTAAAAATAGACTGATCAGAAGAAGGAAGCAGTTGCTCCTGTGCAAGAAGAATCAGATCTTGAAAAAAAAAGAAGAGAAGCTGAAGCATTGCTTCAAAGCATGGGGCTAACTCCAGAATCCCCCATTGGTAAGGATAAGAATATATCCATTTATAAGAGCCAAGAATAGATGTTATTCAGCTCAGATATATCTGAGATGAATACAATTGACTTTAATAGATTTTGCATATTTTTCTTACTTGTGTCTCTTAAAAATAATTAATCTTACACTTTATTCAGAATTATCTTTTTTCACATGTGCCAATACATGGTTATTTTGTTTGTTTGTGAGAGCTGCAAGATTAAGTGTATTTATTAACATACACTAAACAACCATTTGACTTCTCTTATTAAATCAGTAATTTAGTTCAACATTTGTTGAACAAGTTTCTATGCCATACTGTATTTGGCTTAAAGATGACTCCTGATCTTAACTCTGTATTTTTTTCTGTAGGTTAAACAGAGGTATAATGAATCAAAATTCTAAAAGTATGTTAGTGTTCAGAGATATAGGATGGGAAGGAAAAGGTAGCCTTCTGCACTCATTGCTAATAAGGGAAATAATATTGATAGCCGTTCATGCAGCAGTTTGACTTGTTTTTTGTTGGGCCATTCATTTTGATGAGAGTACTAAACCAAAACGCTGACATAGTAGAGGTACTGAAGACAATCTAGTTACAGGTCAGAAAGCATTAAACACTTACTTAAAATAATTCTAACCTGGATGCTGTTACGTGGTATTTTAGTTTGACATGGTCTTTGTCATTTAGGGTTAGTTTGTCGGCAGCTAATTCCATCTAGTTCAGGGAACAAATACCAGAAATAACAACTACTGTTTGCCTTCGTGAACTACAACATAACTGTTTCTAGAGCTGATATTTCTAAAAGGTTTCAAGATGATAAAGCTGGGTACTCTCATGGTCTGCTTCTTGTTACTTCTTTCAACTCATTTGCCTTTTCCGTGATGATAGCATTTGAAGGTTGAAATATATGTATATGTCTTTATTTAATAAGTTTACATTCATATTGCAATTTTAAAAGTAAATGAATGAGAACAGTAGTGTTAATAAAGTAGTAACTAAACCAAGTTTCTCTTTAGTTGTATAGTCTTTGATCATTTTTTCTGTAGCTGGCTTTGTTTTCCTCCTGTGGGATATTTTTTTCCCTTTTCTATTTTTAGTATTTCAGTTTTACTGAATTCACTTGCTCATATCTCTCAATTCATGACCCTCCTCCATTATTAAATCTTGAAAGACCGTTTTTTAGAGGTGTGTGTGTGTGTGTGTGTGTGTGTTTCCCTTATTCCCCATCTCCAGTTCCATCCCCCTTCCCAGTCTTGCTTAAGTACCCATTTTTGCATTAACATATGTGCTTTTAATCTGTCCTGTGTTTACATACTTCAGGGTTTCATATATATATTTGTGTGTGTGCATGTATGTTTTATACACATAAACACATTGTGTTATGTATCGTTCTGTTTGTATCTTTTTGTTAAGCAGCATTTGAGACCTACCCATGTTGCTAAATACAGATCTAGTTACTTCTTTTTGACTGATGCATGGTATTCCATTATATACCATATTTTACTTATCTGTTCCCCAAGTGATAGGCACTTAGATTGCCTCCATCTCTTTGCTATCACAGTTAACACTGCAAAGAATACATACTTTACTTTTGAGAACTGTGGAAGAGTTTCTCTGGGATGTATGCCTAAGAATTGACTTGCTGTGTTATTGTGTATAAGCTTACTTTACATTTGTTAGAGACTACATACCACTCTAAAGAATGACTACAAGTTTACCCTCCCAGTGCCAGTGAATGACAAAGTAACTGTTTTACCATATCCACATCATCACCTGATGTTCTCTGACTTTCCAATTTTTGCCAACTTGAATGGGTATAAAGTAGTATACCAAAACGTTTTAATATAAATTTATCTGTTTATAGTGAGGTTAACCATTTCTCAAGTATCTATTATTTTCTCTTCTATGAGTTGCATATTCATATACTTAGCCCATTTATTATTAGAGTTATTTATCTTGCTGCAGGAGTTCCTTGTATATTTTAGGGGAGGTCTTCTTTGTTGTAGTATTTAAAAAAAAAACTTCCCAGTCTATTACCTGTTAACTCTGTTTATAGTATCTTTCATTGAACCTAATTCTTCATTTTAATGTGTTCAAATCCTTCATTTTGATTTTAGTGAGACCTGCCAATTATAACCCTTTTTTGTGCTTTTGGTCTTTTTTTTTTTTTTTTAAGAAATCCTTTCTTTGAAGACACAATATATATTTTCCTATATTATTTCTGTTAGGCTTTATAATTTCAGCCTTTACCTTTAGATGTTTGGATTATATTTTTGAATATAGTATGAGGTAGGGATCCAATCTAGTTCTTCTCTATATAGTTAGCTAATTTCCTCAGTTCCATTTATTAGATAGCCCTTCTTTCTCCTTACTGATACTGATGCCAACTTTGTCATACAGTCACTTCCCATATATTCATGACATTTCTGGGCTCTGTATTTTCACTGCTCATCTACTTGGTTTGATTCTACACTATTAACCCACAGTTTCAGTTACTATGACTTAAGTGTTCTGTGTAATTTTCTTGTATTGCCCGTATTCATTGGCCATCGTGGTTATGATTTTAAAGTAAATTGGACAGCTTTACCTTATGATATTTTGTAGAATAGCTTTTAAAGGGTAGATGTTACCTGTTCCTTTAAAACTTGGAAGAATTCAACTGTAAAACTGTCTGGGATTACAACTTTTTTTTTCAGGGGGTAGTTGAGGCAGAGGTTATTCACCATTTTAAGTCCCTTTTAAGGTTGTAGTCTATTCAAGTTTTCTATTTATTTCTGTATTGTTTGATTTTTTAAAAAAGCAATAATATTTATTATCTCTCATAGTTTCTGCCTATCAGGAATTTGGTAGTGGCTTAGCTGAGTGGCTGTGGCTCAGGGTATCTTATGGCATTGAAGTCAAGATGTCAGTCAGAGCTGCAGGCATCTGAAGGCTTGCCTGCTGCTAGGATATGCTTTCAAGTTGCCTCACTCATATAGCTGGCATGTTGGTGTTGGCTATTGTTGGTGAAAGACCCGAGTTCCTGTCCACGTGGGCCACTCCACGGAACTGCAGGAGTATCCTTGCAGAATGTCAGGTTCTCCCAAGTGAGCAACCCAAGAAAGCCAGGAAGAAGCTGTTATTTTTATGACTTACTCTTAGAAATGATCAGTTCCACTACATTCTTCTGTCGATTGGAATTCACAAAGATTTGGACTTTCTTTAAAACTGCTAGAATATTTGCAACAGATTCATAGGTCTCTCATATTTTGACATGATCATATGCTTTTTTTCCCTTTTAGTGTACTAATTTGATGATTTATAATGATAGCATTCTAATGTAAAAGCATGCTTACATTCTGGAATAAACAACTTAGTTATGAGATGATTTTTTGCCTTTTTTTTTTTTTTAAGATTTTATTTATTCGACACGGAAAGAGAGACAGCAAGAGAGGGAATACAAGTAGGGAGAGTGGGAAAGGGAGAAGCTGGCCTCCCGACGAGCAGGGAGCCTGATGCGGGGCTCAGTCTCAGGACTCAGGGATCATGAACTGAGCTGAAGGCAGATGCTTAACGACTGAGCCACCCAGGTGCCCCAAGACGATTTTTTTCTTATGCATTGCTGAATGCATTTGCAAATATTTTATTTAGGAGTTCTGCATATATACTCAGAATCATGCCTGTAATTTTTTTCCTTTTATTATATCTTGTCTGGCCATTATAATAGATATAATAGTTATATCTATAATGGTTATAGTAGCCATATTAAATAGGTTGTGTGATTATCACCTTCTTCTATTCTCTGACAGATCCCTAAAGATCTTTCCAGTATTTATTTAAAATTAGGCTTGAAGAATACAGGATACAGATGAAGGCAGTGTCTACCAAACTTTTTTGACGGTAACCCAAAATAAAAAGTACATCTTATATCATGACTTAGGATGGATACTTGTTTCTCTTTTCACTACAGAATGTATTTAGTCAATATTTTTAAATTATAGAGGTGTAAAAATACTGCCAGAATATTCAAGAGGATTTATTAAAAATATCAATCTCTTTTCCTAAAATAGACTTTTTTTTTAATTCTGAAAAGAATTTTTTTAAAAAGCTATAGCTAATAAAATCTCTTTTAGCTTCTCATCATTGGTAGTTTCTTATTTATTTGGTGAGTTGACTGCTTTTTGTCAGAGATCCTTGAAAGCAAAGAATATAACATTTTTATCCCTGGTGTCCAGCACAGAATAGACACTTAAATGTTTGTTGGATTATTATTAGGTCATATGTCTTTCTTCTTGTAAGGCCAAATAAAAGCCCTCTGCTTTAAAAGCAAAAACAAAATCTGATTGTTTAAATTTCAGAAAAAAGCATAATGGAAATTGAAATATGACCATTTCATAAAAGGAGCATGGCTTTTTTTTTTTTTTTTTTAACTAAATTTAAGTGGCCAGTCTTAAAGTCAATTTTAGGTACAACTTTCAAGACATGTTATATTCAATATGGAGTTACTAAGCATTGATGATTGAAAAAAATAAAGTGAATCTCTTTCGTATGTGTAACTACTGTCTTAAACATCTTGTAAAGAGATGAAAACAAACACTGCCAAGTATTCTATAGCCTGAGTCTGTATCAGTAGGCCACAGAACATTGATTTGTATGATAGTTTATTATCAGGATTTTCTTTTACTAGGAAAAAACAAAAGAACTTTGCTAGTCAAAAACAAGAATCGCATCATTTATTTCCCTCACACCCCTTGTAACTTTTGAATACCTTAAATTTCATTTTTTCCACTGTGTTGAGAAATATTTGACATATGTCACTATGTAAGTTTAAGTTACGTTGTATGATGGTTTGATTTACATATATTATAAAATAATTACCACAGTAGGTTTAGTTAACATTCATCATCTCATACAGATATACTAAGCAGAAAAAAAAATTTCTTCTGATGGCAACTTTTAGAATCTATCCTTTTAATAATTTTCTTACATATCATATGACAGTGTTAACTAGAGTCATCATTTTGTGTAGTATAATACTTAGTACTTATTTATCTGATTCTTAGATGGAATGAGTGCTTTCTATGTACCAACTCATTTCTTCAAGTTTAGCCTAATTTTAACAAATGGCTCATTATAGTATTTTAATACCACAGGATTTTATTTTTATTAATTTCTTTAAAAAAATTTATCTGATGCTCTGAATTACATTGAAGAGAATAAAGGAAGCAAGTAAATAAATAATAAATAAAGGAAACAAAACATTTAGGGATTAGTGGAGGATATTTAATCTTCATTATCAGGAGAAAAGACCATAAATAGGGAGAAATTAATATTTAGGAGAGTTAAGGTTTAAAGCAATACCTTTGAGGATGAAAAGAGGGAGTTACGAAAAAGTTAAGTGTTATTATTCCAGGCTAAGAGTATCCACAAGGGGGTATTATTGTAGTGCGGGCTATGTTTGAGTATTAAGTTTCCTAGATTAGCTAGAGGAGGCCTTAAAACTTGGGTTATCTCAGAAAGTCACTCCTTCCATTTTACTGTCTCATACCAGCTCATACTCCCTATATTCACTTTCCTTGGCTCTTGGCTGTTCACCTTTCCTCGGTTCTCCTTCCTGGCAAAAGCCCCTTCTTGCCAGAGCCTTTCTTCTACTCAAAAAATAATTGGGCTGTGTGTCATCCTTCATCTCTGAGACTTTGCATAGTTCTGAGTGGCCACCTCAAACTGAATCCTAATCATAAATCAAAAAGCATTCCTAGGTGCTTTCTGGTTTAAAAATATCTAGGTGTTTCTTTGTAGGCCAAAAGGCAGCAATGTATGATTTTATATCCTTGGAAGACCAAGATCTAAACTGGTAGGAAAGGCCTTCTTGATTGGGTTTTTGTTCTAGATAATTAAAGAGTCACAGTCTTTCAATATTATTTACATGATCAGTGAATGCTTTGGTGTAGATTTGTCTTTCAGTTTACTCCATTTTTCTCCTCTGGTTCTCAAAGAAGGAAATAAGTATCTTTGCTCTAAACTTCTAATAAGCTTAAAATTGTTCAAATACGCATGTATGTTAATGTTAAATCTTTCATTTTGTGCTCTTTAAAGCCTTGTTTTAGGCCATATATATATATGTATGTATATATACACACACACATATATAACATATAATGAGTATACATGTTATGTATATATGTGTATATATACATATATGACTGGAATAAAAGTAATGTGACGTAATTGCTGTTCTTATTAAGCAGATTATATCTCAGATACTTGTTAAAAGCTAATTAGTAATGGCTTTTGTTATTTGCAAAGCTGGTTGGACTCTTAAACCATCTTTACAAATGAATTCTAAAATTGAGTCTTTTTTGAGATTTGAGGGGCTATGATTTCAAAGGTTTTTTTAACCTCCCTGAATTCATGCTGTTTGTTCTTAGGGATTGTTTGTTGAATCTGAGAGTATGGTGGCATTGCCTTACTGTGCAATTACTGTAATCTTTGATTTTTCTAGACTAATTAGGTTGAAATATGGTAGTGACCAAACAACACTACCATTCCATTTTTTTCTGTTAATATTACTCCTTTTTCAATAATGGTAATTTTCTTTTTCTAGGTTTGTCTCTTCTGTAGTATATGTTATTTATTATTGCAAGATGAAGTGGGTGAGCCAGATAATAACTTTGAGTCTTTAATGAGTTCTTCCATAAACTGGCTTGAAAACTATCTTTTGTGAGAAATGATACAGTTCTGGGATGGAGGTTTTTATTGAATTATAAATGTGATGCCGTGGTGATTAATTTTGCTTCTGGCTGATAAACTATGATAATTTGGTAGCATCACTCCTGTAATTTATTTTTTATCTTGGTAACTTTTATTTTTTTATTGGCTAGGTTCATATATTTATGTATATATAATTACTGTTTAACCTGTTTCCATAAAGAATTTGAGGTAACATTTTTTTTTTTATATTGTAGTTTTAACCAAGTAAGATACTATTTATTCCTTTACCAGTTAGGACTTAGGGAAAGCCTCACATTGAGAAACAGACAAAAAGATGAGGAATGTAGCCTAAATGAAGTTAAGAGACATTAATTTTCTTTTATTTTAGATGCAGATCATATTTAGCTACTTTGAGTTGTATACACAGCACCTAGCACAGTGCCATCCACCTGTGAACTATGTGAAGGTGATCTGATTTTATCATTGTTTCTGAGAGATGTAGTCACAATATTAGAAACATTCAATTATGTTTTTATAGTTTTTGGAATTTAAGCAAGACTTAATCACTGTATCTCAGGAAGCATTCTATTTATGATTTTCTTTCCTCCGATCTTACTATTGGTTACCAATAGAATTTGCCATTGGAAAAATAAGGATGATTAGTTTTGTGCCTGTGTTTAAGATGTAATTCAACATAGGGACACCTGGCTAGCTCCGTCAGTAGAGCATGTGACTCTAAATCTCAGGGTTGAGAGTTCATGCCTCAGGTTGGATGTCGAGTTTATATTACCAAAAAAAAAAAAAGGCAAAAGATGTAATTTATCATACTATACTTGTACACTTTGTTAGATTAGCAAACCCACCTTTTTTTATTGTATCATGTATAAACATTTAAATAGAATTTTAAGGGTTCAGTGTGTGTGACTATCCCCCAAACATACATTTTTAATTAAAGATGTAGTTCTTTAGATTAATTCCTTTATAATTAGGAACTTACCTTCTTTTAGATAGACTATTAAAAGACGGGCTTGCAGCTCAACATAAAATGTGTTAGTCACTTAATATTATATACTGAAAAATTATTTTAAAAAGATACTTGGGATTGGGGACATTTATGGTAAAATTTAACCAGAAGATGGCAGTGATGATCCTCCTATACTTCCTGCAATGGTAATCAAAATGTTTTACAAATGTAATAGCATGAAATGTGCACGTTTAACTCTTGATATATAATGTTAAGAGTGCTGATTTAGGGGAAAGCATTTGCTGTTTGTTTTATATACTATGAAAAATGTGTATTTTTCTATAAGAAGGGATTAAGAATATTTTGGGTGTCTGTATCTTTGTCTGTACACTTCAGTTTTTTCTGAATACTGGGGTAAGGAAGTTACCATAAGTCTTGCCTTATTTAAGTTGCATGTATCACTTTATGTTATGCATCATGTCTAGAAGGCATGCTGTTTTATGGCCTGTTTGCATTTTTTACCCAAATTGTTGGAAACTAATGGACATTTTAAAGGAGCCATTCCTTTAGCTGTGGTCATTTTCCCTAAATTGGCCCCTTTTCTTGGGAAAGGAAAAATGAAATCATTTAAGGCATTAATTTCTGAAATAAAAATTGTTGGACAAAAATTAACATTTTTAAAATAAATCTCAGAAAACTAAGGGTAAATGACTTTTGAAGAATATTTCAGAGTTTTCATTTTGATAACAATTATCAGTAGTATTTATAATGTGGTGATCTTAAAAGTGAAAAGTTAAAAAGGGGGGAAGGAATGCACTCCTTTGAAAAATTAGTGCCCACATTTGGTGTTGGCTGGGACGAAGATGCATCCTTTCATAATCTTGCTTTTTTTTTTTATATATATAAAACCCAAATGCATTTTGCCAGAGAAATTGCATGAGTTGTCAGCATGCATTGTTAACTTTATCTTTCTCCTGTTCTTTCTACTGTTCATTTTCATTCATGTATTTTTGTTTTTTGGTTTGCCATTTTTTTTCTCTTTTGTTAATTACTTCATGTTAAATTACTTTTGAAACGTCATAAGCTGAGCAACCTCTCCGTGTAGTAACAGCGGATACCTGTCTATTTCACTATTTAGTCCCTCCTCCTATGTCTCCATCCTCCAAATCTGTGAGCACACCAAGTGAAGCTGGAAGCCAAGACTCTGGAGATGGTGCAGTGGGATCTAGGTACAGTAAATTTCTTTTAATAGCTTAATGATAGAATGCATTTAAAACATACTGTTGATGCTTTAGAGGGACTCTAAATAGCTATGTTAAAACTAACATTTTGAAATCTAAGTGGCATAGACACTTATTTTAAATTAGGGGAAATTTTTTTAATAGTATTTTAGCTGTCCCTCTTGATTAATTTAGGCTGAATAGTTAACTGATTTTACACTAATTATTTTTATTAAAATAGAGATGTTAATTGATTTAATTTTTTTATGTCTAAGCATACATCATAGGCTATTGTGTGAATATGTATAATATAATATAAACAGTATAAATAGTGTATGATAGTATGAAATAGTATAAATATTATGGTATGACTAGTATAAAAATAATGTAAAATAGTTTATAAATAATGTGAAACATCTGTTGTGCTTAGTTGTCCATTCAGCAATTGAAAATCTAAACAGTTTGGTTAAACACTTCAATTGTGTTCTATTGAGTCACTAGTTCTAATCAAGATAGAAAATAATACTGCATAAAATTATCAAATAGAGTTAACTGTTAAGGAAACAGGAGTGTTTATTGTCATGAGGACATTATGCTAAATGAAATAAGTCAGAGAAAGACAAATACTGAATTATGTCACTTATGTGTGAAATGTAAAAAAACAAAACAAAACCAAAGAAATCCAAGATCATACATACAGAGAACAGATTGGTGGTTGCCAGAGGTAAGGGGTAAGGAATGGTCAAAATGGTTGAAGAGTTTCAAAAGGTACAAACTTCCAGTTATAAAATAAATAAGTCATGAGGACATAATGTGCAGCATGGTGATTACAGTTAATAATACTGTATTGCATATTTAAAGATTGCTGAGAGTAGATCTTAAAAGTTCTTCATTGGGGAGAGTATGTGCTATGGTGAGTGCTGTGAAGTGTGTAAATCTGGTGATTCACAGACCTGTACCGCTGGGGCTAATAATACATTATATGTTTATAAAAAAATAATTAAAAAAAAAGTTCTTATCACAAGAAAAAATACTTTTGTAGCTATGTATGCTGACACATGTTAACTAGAATTGTGGTGATCATTTCACAATTTATACAAATATCAAATCATTCTTTTGTATAGCTGAAAGTAATATAGTATTGTATGTCAATTAAACCTCACTTTAAAAAAAACGTTTTCTGTCAACTTTTCCCATCCTCACATCTTCCTTATAAAACCGTATTTCAGGGGCACCTGGGTGGCTCAGTGGGTTAAAGCCTCTGCCTTGGGCTCAGGTCATGATCCCAGGATCCTGGGATCCAGCCCCATCCAGCTCTCTGCTCAGCAGGGAGCCTGCTTCCTCCTCTCTCTGCCTGCCTCTCTGCCTACTTGTGATTTCTGTCTGTCAAATAAATAAAGTCTTTAAAAACAACAACAACAACTGTATTTCATATTTGTTTTAGGATCCTGCACACATGTTGGGACTTGCTTTCCAAAAGTTCAGTAAGATTTCAGCTTCTCTCCAAACATTGTACTGGGGAAAGTACTTTTACTTATTCCTCTTTGTCACACACACACACACACACACACACACACACACAGCAAGCCTTTTAAAAACACTGTCATCATACTTTTTGACTCCTCATGTCAGCTGAAATGAGATTAAACATAGTAAAAATCTTTTTTTTTTTTTTAAGATTTTTATTTATTTGACAGAGATCACAAGCAGGCAGAGAGAAAGGAAGGGAAGCAGGTTCCCTGCTGAGCAGAGAGCCCGATGCAGGTCTAGATCCCAGGTCCCTAAGATCATAACCTGAGCCGAAGGCAGAGACTTTAACCCACTACAGTTATATAGTGGGTTATATGGGTACCTATAGTTAAAATGTTTATTCAGAATCCTTATTTTAGGCAGGAAGTTAAATGTCCTCCTCAGAAGAATCTCTTAACATTCCTCTTAATAAGAAATAAACTTGAGAAGTTTTATCTTCTTTGTGCCTGAGTGCCTCTGATTGAAGTTATAATGAGTACCTAAAAGGCAAGAAAAAAGAAGTAAGAGAGCTAGATAATAAATTCAGTATTTTAATCAATTCTGGTTCAAATCAGGTTATCATTAACAATTAGAAGACAAAAAAGGTTTCACCAGTTTGGATTTGAGATGTGTTTTTCCAAAACTGTTTTGTAAATAGAACCAAAATTGGAAATCTCAATTTTACTGTCATTGGAAATAAATAATATAACCATCATTAAAAAAAAAAATAAAAACTTTTTTTTAGAAATAATAGTACCTTATAAAATAGTATATATTATATGTTAAAGGCTAAATTTATTTAGTCTAAACTCATTTTTAAGACTAAATTTGTTTCATACCTCATACTTTCATGTTTTTGTACAAATATGTTAGTATTCCTTTGCTAATAAGCAAGTGGTATTTTCAAGAGAAGCCTTTTTCCCCCCTTCTACAGCTTTACTGTAGTACAAATATTTACCCAGATAATTTTATGTTCATTAAATTTACTTGTATTATAAATTATTTTTATGTAGATATTATACTGTGTTCATTTTGAACTCTGTGTTCTTGATTTTGAAGAGCAGAAAGATTATTTTAAATGTCACATCAGTAAGTTTGCTTTCAAAACTATGTAACATCTACTAGATTTTGTTCTTTTTTTTTTAAGATTGATTTATTTATTTGAGAGGGAGAGAGGGAGTGCAGGCAGGGGGAGGGTCAGAGGGAGAGAAACTGAAGCAGACTCCCCACTGAGTATGGAGCCCCAACATGAAGCTTGATCCTGTGACCCCTGAGGTCATGACCTAAGCCAAAACCAGTAGTTGGATGTCCAACCAACTCAGCCATCCAGGCATTTCCTGGTTTTTGAAATTAATGTGAATTAGAACATGTCCTTCTGAGTTTCATTGGGAAACAGTTTATTGGAGACCCATTGGAATATTGTGAATTGGTACAAGGAGTAAATACTGTTAAGAAAAATATTTATTTGTATATAGAACACATATTCCATCACATTGCCAAGTTAATGTTCAATATTATATAGGTTACCACAGAAAATAAAATATTCATGGTCCTTGCCTTCATGGAACTTACATGATAGTGATTACATCATTAATTTAAAGATATTACTCACTGTACTGAAAAGTTCTAAGCATAGTGTGCTAACTTGTGTTTGAGTATAAATTTTTAATGATAAGTTATGAAACAAAAATACAGGTATTTAAATACCTTTAGGGGTTTGTTCTTATTAGAGAATGAATATAAAATTTAGTTTCTTCTCAGTTTAACAGGAGAGCAAAAAAAAATTCCTCTTTTTGAATGAGATGACCTGGTAATCTTACTACATACATTGTCTCCTTTGAGACCATAGATTAATTTTGAAGAGGGCTGCATATGTTCTTTTTTATGTATTATATGTATACATACAAGAGTAAAAACTATGAATTCTACTACATCATCTCCAGATTCCATAGTAGAGAGAGAATTAATCTTGTTGATTAATTGGTGCTATTGGCAGTGAAATAATAGCATTTCTAAATATATGGCCCTTGAAAAGAATCTTAAGATCTGAGAATGAAACAGAATGAATTTGAATTGAGCAGGCATGTTGGTAATGAAAGAATAAAGAAATTAAGAAGAGGTATCACAGAAAAATACATGAAGATGTGTGAGGTGTATGAACCCACACACTGAACTCTGTTAACTGGAAGACAGTCCAAGATTAGTACACTCAAGGGGTAGGAAAAGATATATTAGACATTACCAAGACATACCTGAATCACTATTTCCAAATGCCAGAAATTTCTGGCCTGGTTATAATTTATGAATAAATATAAAAGGCCATGAAAAGTGATATCTCCCTAATTCTGCAGATTTGGAGTTGAATTCATTAAGTTTCTAGTTCTCTTAGTCACTTCTGTTATCTCTAGAATGTAGCTGACAGTTACTCAATTGGGTAATCCATGTTTCTTGTTTCTTTTCCCATTCTTAATCAGTTTACCTTTCAGGCTTTGGATTATATTGGAATTTTACTTTATATGTCTACTGATGCCTGTAATAAATATAATTCTGTATGTTATGCAATGTATTTTGAGTACTGGATATATTTTTAAGTAAAGTTTTGCTTAATTTTAGACTTAAATGACATCCTCAACAAGGAGCTGTAGGTAACTGGTAACAACTACACCTGTCATATTCCTTGGAGCGCACCTAATAGAACCCCTTCTGATTTAACAAAGTCTAAGTTTGTTGCTGTTCATTGCTTAGTACAAAGTAGATCTTCATAGTGACCTTTTCTTTGCATATACATAATCCTTTTTAAACCCCCAAATCTTTATTTACATTTTAATTTTTAATTTTATTTATTTTTTAAAGATTTTATTTATTTATTTGACAGACAGAGATCACAAGTAGGCAGAGAGGCAGGCAGAGAGAGAGGAGGAAGCAGGCTCCCTACTGAGAAGACAGCCCAGTGCGGGGCTTGATACCAGGAACCTGGGATCATGACCTGAGCCGAAGGCAGAGGCTTTAATCAACTGAGCCACCCTGGAACCCCGTCTTTACATTTTTTTAAAAAATATTTTATTTATTTATTTGGCAGAGATAGACATAGCGAGAGAGGAACACAAGCAGGGGGAGTGGGAGAGGGAGAAGCAGGCTCCCCACAGAGCAGGGAGCCCGATACGGGACTCGATCCCAGGACCCTGGGATGATGACCTGAGCCGAAGGCAGATGCTTAACTGACTGAGCCACCCAGGTGCCCCTCGTCTTTACATTTTTAATATGAAGAATTTCTCTAGTTCAATTCATCTGGGTGTTTTTGTTGATAAACTGTTTATACAGGTAACATATAGAAGTTATTTGTTGCATTTATTTATTTTTTATTTGTTGTATTTAAATATTGTAGCTGTTTCAGTTGCTTGTTATAACTTATATGCATGAGTGTATATATAGCCAAAAATGATAGTATTACATATATTGTGCTTAACTTTTTAATAGGGACTGTGAATATCATATAGTACTGTACATAATTATCTTATATACTGCTAACTTGTAAGAATGCCCATGTGATAATGTACCTTTTGTTCTAGTAGTATAAGATTTGGCTTAGGTGGAAAAGATCCCATGTAAGTCATTTACCCAGTAGGCGAGGCTAAAACACAACCAAATATTTATTTAGAATTGATACTTTCTAGAAGTTTAGTTAATTTAGGTAAGTCCTTTGAACAAAATATTTTTCCTGGGAAAATTTTTTTTTCCCTAGAGACAGAAATCTTTAGTTGTTTTCTAAAGCAGATGACATGTAAGCTCAAGGCTGTGCTTAACCCATAAATTGCGCAGGGGTCACATTTTGGAAACTTTAGCTTTTTTGTATCCCAGTGGAATAGTCTTTGGTTTTCTTACCGAAAGGCTTATGTGTTGATTCATTTCCTTTAGCAATATGACAATTTTCTGCACACATTTAATGCTTTGGGCAATATTATAATATGTTAACTAAGATGTTTTTACTAATGCTTTTTTAATTAAGAAAATTAAAATTTTAACTTTTTATAGCCTAGCTTGTTATCCAAAAATAATATTTGTGTTGTTGGATGCTTTGGCTGTTCTTGTCCATTATAAAGCAATATTAGTTTCCTGTAACCTGAAAATACTGTCTTTTAACTATTCTGAGTTACATGTTTGCATCTTTAACCAACTTATGCTTATGGTGTGCAGTAGAGCATTGAGTGATAACCTGGTGTTTATTTCATACTAACCAGAACATGTGGTGTTTAATTGTGAACAGTATTTTAGCTTTACCTATTCATAGAATGTATTTGCTTGACTAACTTATGGCCTTTTTTGCTAACGCTTCATGGTTGTCCTACAACCATTTAGGACGCTGCATTGGGATACAGATCCATCAGTTCTTCAGCTTCACTCAGATTCCGATTTGGGGTATTGAATAGATTTTTTACCTTCCCTCTTCTATAATTAATTTGATTCTTTGCAAAACTCCTAATTTTATTTAAATTTCTAATGTACATTATACAGTTAGGAAAAGAGTTAATATCTTACTGTGACACCTCATTTATCCTCTGTCATTAGTGAAAGAAATATTTTATGTATCTGATTTTCTAGGTAACATAACTCTACCATTTAAGTGTCCAGAGTCCTTTGATTATTTCTATATCTTTGATGTGAATTTTTCTAACCTGGATTATAAACTTCCCAGACTTTTTCTGATATGTATTCTACATATTATTGAACCTTTTCTGGGTTACCTGATACAAGTATTAATTTGTTTTCCTGTATTAAAATTTCCTCATGATTTCTAAGATGTTAAGAGGAACAGAGCTCTTGGTCTTCTACACTATGGCCCCAGATTGCTATTGATTTATTCTTTAATTCATTTATTCACTCATTTATTTATTATAATCCCAATGCAAATTATGTTTGGTGCTGCCATTGTGCCATACTCAGATAGTAATTTGATAATTTGCACCTTCTAAAACACATGATCATACCTTTTGGAATTATGTCTAAAGTAAGGGTAAATGTCTTGAATTAGGGCATGTAAGAAAAGTATATGAGCTTTTTGTACATTAACTGGAAGCTTCTCTGTTGGCTGCCCTGAGACTCCCCCCAACCTTGGTTGCTTCTTTATTCTCAGGAAAAGTGGCTTTTGGATAAGTGAGGTATTACCTCCCTACCCTTCTACTCCTAAATCTTAACTATTTTGTTTGTTCTAATGTGATTTTTATCTAATTAGACTATACGTAGCCAAGTTGGTAACTTGTTCTAATGTTGTTCTTGGCTTAGCCGTTTATTTCCAGATATGTGAATGATTTACTTTTCAAGCAGTTTACATTTTAAAATTCAGAATACAATGTTTTGTATTTTAAATTTTATTCTTAGAATATGAGATTACTTCAAATCTACTTAGGTTTTCCCATTTAATTCTTTGATTATATGCTTTTTTTTCCCTTTAAAGCTAAGATATTCCTAAAGTAGAAAACACATTAAAAAAATTATTGTAGCCCACATTTGGGATCTTAAAGAAAACTAACCCATTTAATGTACTAATTTTATTATACTTTTTTGTATAGGATTTTGAATATGTTTTATAAGAAAATAGTTATTATTACATATATGTATATATTTCAGATACCCTGATTGACATTCTGAAATTACATCAATACTTTTATTAGATATCCTTTTAAGACAGTTGTATAATTGAGAACTTCTTGGGGAGCTTGTAAGCATACTGTATTATTTGATTTAGTATTTAGACATCTAATAAATCAAGAAAAGATCCTCAATATATCTAATAAAAGATATCTTTCATTTGATCTATATTCCTCAGCTACAGTTCTTTTCTTTTATTTGTCAAAAAAGAATGTATTCCCTCTTTAAGACAGAAGTAACTTTAACAGTTTTCTTGTATTCAAAGTATCTGTTGCTCTAATTCAGGAGTAGAATATCTGCATTGTAGTTTGTCTGTATATGAATCAAGGACAGTACTGACCATGCAGAGATTAGAGATTTAAAAGTTTAAATATTTCATTTTGAAATCAAAATTGACTGTATGATTCTCAATTTCTGCAAAATATAAGTGGAAAGAAGGTCTTCAGCAGAAACTTATTTTTCATTCTTAAAGCTTAAGTCTCCTACTGGTGAAGAAACTAAACGTGGTCTGAGATCCATATATCTGCCTCTTCAAAAAAGTTGAATCATATCCGTTTTAAGAACATTTCTCGTAACCAACCATATTTAGTAGTCACTCCGAAATTCCTATCCTCCTTCTGTATTATTACCCACACATTTGTTCTAAGAAACTAAATTATTTGCCTTTTTAAAGTGAAAAACAAACATCTTGAATGATTCAGAAATACCTTTGTTTTTTGCTACCTTCTAAATTCTTTTGTTAAAATAAAGCCAATTTGTTGTTCATCTGATATTTCTTGAATAAAACAGGGATTTAAATTACAATGTTGGATACACAATGTTTAATTCTTAATTTTCCAAAATAACATGGTTTGATGTAGTTTAAATGTTTCATTTGTTGTATTTAAAAACATTTGTCTTCACTTTATTTAGACGAGGACCTATTAAACTTGGAATGGCTAAAATTACACAAGTTGACTTTCCTCCTCGAGAAATCGTCACGTATACAAAGGAAACTCAGACTCCAGTTATGGCTCAACCCAAAGAAGGTGAGTGAATATTCTTAATTTGGTGATCATTAAATTCCCATATTGAATAAATAGATTGTTTTTTCTCTTCCTCTTTTTTTTTTTTTTTTTTTCTGGTGTAATTTCTTAGGGAAACATTTAAAACTAATACTTTTAGGTATTGATGTTTTTGTTTCTTAGAGTTTTAAACCTTTTTCTTTTAGAAGTTAAAGTATAAACTATGGTTTTTAATTTTGTTAACATAAACTTAAGTTTTTCCCTGGCGATTCACAGACCTATACCCCTGGGGCTAATAATACATTATATATTTATTAAAAAAAAACAAAACAAAACTTAAGTTTTTAGTCTTCACTTTTTCATTGATATATGATGCTTTAGAATCAAGAAAGCTTAGGAATGTTCTATTTTTCTGTCACTGAGGATAATCCTTTAAAAGAGTGTATCACACAGTAAATGAAACAATGTAAATTATTTTTTGTAGAGCATATGATATTCTGGTATGCTGTCATTGTTATCTATATTAATGAACAAATCTAGACCTAATTCTTAAACTTTTGGTTTTATGATCTAAGGGCTCTTATAATGTTGATTTCATATGCAGACTTTAATCTGTGTGTAATAGATGTATATGCAAGCATTATATTGAATTTTGAGTCTTTTGATTCTTTTTTTTATTTTAAAGATTTATTTATTTACTTTAGAGAGAGAGAGAGAGAGGGAGCAGGAGCAGAGGGCAGGGGAAAGAGAAGATCCTCAGGCAGTTTCCCCATTGAGCACAGAGCCTGATGCAAGGCTCTATTCCAGGACCTTGATATCATAACCTGAGCTGAGTTGGCCACTTAACAGACTGGGCCACTCAGGCACCCCAGGAGTCTTTTGATTCTTAAACCAGAAGGAGTTACCGTTTTTATACTGGGAACTCATTTTTAAAATCTCATCAGATAGTTAATAATTCAAACATAAAGTTAATATGATAGTTCTTATTTTTTCCAGTTAGAATAATCAATTTATGTCACACATAAAAGGGATTTACATAATATCACTAGTACAGGTCCACAGTTTCTTACCTGAAACCTTTGAAGCCACATATGTATTTGAATTCAGAATTTGTCAGATTATAGTAAAGTTACTAGTAAAATATATGTACTGTAAGTAAACATTCTAGCAGCATCTTGGGCATTAATATTTTGACAGTAGAAAATATGAATATTCAAACCAAGTAAAATAAATAATGATTATAAATAGCTTTACCTCTGATCATATCAGGGTTTACCACCAAATGAGTTATGGATTTTTAGAATTGTTGATATTTTGGATTGTGGTCCAAGAATAAATTTTCCTTTTAGCAGTCTGTGCATAAGGAACATTTTTTTCTCTTTGAGTAGGAAAAGTTATTCCTGTTTTAATTGTGGAATATCAAACATTTAAAACCTTGTTTATCAGATATTTAATTTATTTTAAAATTTTCAGTTTCATTACCATGTTTCTCCATTAAGGAGAATCAAAAATAATATTCACTTCAGAAAGCCCAGATAATACAGGTAAACAAAATGGAGAAAAAAAAATCTTTGGAGCACCTGGGTGGCTCAGTTGGTTCAGCATCCAACTCTTGATTTTGGCTTGAGTCATGAACTCAGGGTTGTGTAATCAAGCCCCGTGTCCCAGCATGGAGTCTGGTTAAGATTCTCATTCCCTCTCTCTCTGTCCCTCCATCACCCTCCCTTAAAAAAAAGTTATTGTGGGGCACCTGGGTGGCTCAGTGAGTTAAAGCCTCTGCCTTCGGCTCAGGTCATGATCTCAGGGTCCTGAGATTGAGCCCCGCACAGAGCTCTCTGCTCAGTGGGGAGCCTTCTCCCCCGCCCCCCACCTGCCTCTCTGCCTACTTGTGATCTCTCTCTTTGTAAAACAAATAAATAAAATCTTTAAAAAAAAAAAAATGTCTTGAAACCTTTAACTATTACCAAAGAAAATCTTTAAATTTACATGCTTATATATACCAAAAGAAATTAGGATTAAACCTGTTTATAATCTATGTACTTTTTAACAACTCTCCTTTCCCTGCCCAGTAAGGATGGAAGTGAAATAACTACCTTAAACTATTCTGTTCACTTTCATCTTGCTCCCCAAAAAGGGTTGACATTGTCGTACATACTATTACACTTCAAAAAATTTGAGGAAATCAGGGTAATATTTTTATCCAGGTCTTTTTTTTTTTTTTTTTTTTTACTTGATCATGTGAATGTTCATGTCTGTGGATACATTTTTTTCATTCCTACTGCTCCATTGATTGGTAAAATAGCTTTCACAGGAGAAAAATCCTCATCTTTCTAGAAAAAAAGCCACTGATGGTAATCCTGAGACTTAACCACCTTAAAAGAAAAAAGAAAAGGTAAAGTGTTGAACTAACAGTATGGAGAATATGAATACTGCAAGATTCCATAATTTCTGGAAAATAATATTTTATTAATTAGTATATTCAAGTATTTTAATGTCTGTCTTTCTGAAGCTACGTTATTATATATGTTAACTCAAACAAGCAAGCAGAATAGCCCAAATGAGGGCACAGTGACTCATTTAAAAAGTATATTAGGCTGGTTTTCTTCATCTAATAATTTGGAGATTTATTTTTAGTTATTCCATCATACTTATGAAATGCATTTTGGATTGTTTGAAATGTAAAGCATTCTGAAGCTATTTTGGGTAATGCCTATCATATATTCAGCTTAAGTGAAGAATTCCTTTTTTTTTTAATAATTTTTTCCTAATTATTAGAGTAGTATATCATGGAGAATATAGAAAATACAGAGAATGAAACTAGGCCACTGTCTTCTATCATGTACAAAATAAATTCAAAATGGATGAAAGATTTCAATGTAAGACCTGAAACCATAAGCCTCCTGGAAGAAAACATAAGCAGTAAGCTCTTTGACATCGGTCTTAACTGTACATAGTTTTTTAGACCAGTTTCCTCAGACTTTGGCACCAAAGGCTAAAATAAATAGATGGGATTACATTAAACTAAAAAGATTTTGTGAAACCATCAACCAAACTAAAAGACAACCTGTTGAATGGGAGAAGAATTTGGCAAATCATATACCTGAGAAGGGGTTAATACCTAAAATCTATAAAGAACTTAGACAATATAAAATAAAACAATTAAAAAATGGGCAGAGGACTTGAATATACATCTTTCCAAAAAAAACCTACAGATGGTCAATAGATACATGAAGAGATGCTCAACATCATTAGTCATCAGGGAAATGTAAATCAAAACTAAAGATACTACTTCATACCTGTCAGATTGGGTAGTATCAAAAAGACAAAAAATAACAAGAGTTGGTGATGATGTAGGGAAAAGGGAACCCTTGTACACTGTTGGTGGGCATGTAAATTGGTATAGATACCCTAGAGAAGAATATGGAGGTTCCTCAAAAAATTAATGGTAGAATCACCATACAATCTAGCAATTCCGCTTCTAGATATATCTGAAGAAAACAAAGACACGAATTTGAAGATATATATGCACCCCTCTCTTCAATGCAGCATTCTTTCCAATAGTCAAAGATATGGAAGCAGCCTGAGTGTCCATCAATAGATGAATGGGTAAAGGAGATGGAATATTACTCAGCCATAAAAAGAATGAAATATTGCTGTGTGTGACAACATGGATGGATCTAGAGGGTATTATGCTAAGTGAAATATGTCAGACAGAGAAAGACAAATACTGCGTTTTCACCTAAAAAAAAAAAAAACTAAAAAAAACAGAACAGAAACAAGATTCATAGATACAGTAAACAAACTGTTGGTTGTTACCAGAGCGGGGCAGACATTGGGGGTGGGTGAAATAGGTGAAGGGGATTAAGAGGTACAGACTTCCAGTTATAAAATAAATTAGTCATGGGGTTATAATGTACAGCATAGGGAATATATTCAATAATATAATAACTTTATATGGTGACAGATGATAGCTAGACATATTGTTAGGGTCATTTTGTTGTGTTTAAAAATACCAAATTGCTATGATGTATGCCTGAAACTAACAGGATATTTGTGACAGTTATACTTCAATTAAAAAATGCAGAAAGGATATAAAGAGGAAATGTGATTCCATTGTGTAATAACCATTGTTAATATTTTGTTTCCAGTTTTCTAGGATGTATTTCTTTCTAAAATTCTATCTGTATATATACACACACATAAATATATATATACACACATTTGATTTTATCCAGTTTGAAATTTACATTTTTAATTGCTTATTTTGAGATGTGTGTAAATTTTTAAATGTTAACATGTAACTTATTCCCATTGAACTAATTTGAGTGTAGAGCTGTATAAGACTGGCATTTTTAAAAAATTCTTTTTCCGGGGCGCCTGGGTGGCTGAATTGTTAAGCGTCTCTCTTCTACTCAGGTCGTGATCCAGGGTCCTCGGATCGAGCCCGGCATTGGGCTCCCTGCTTGGTGGGAAGCCTACTTCTCCCTCTCTCCCTCCCCCTGCTTGTGTTCCCCCTCTCGCTTTATCTCTCTCTGTCGAATAAATAAAAAAAATTTTTTTTAATTCTTTTTCCTGTTTTTATTTTGTAAGTAATTAAAAATTTGAAAGATCATTACTTGTTAGATAAGCTGATGATCCAGAAGCACAAGATAAACTGTATTCTTTTCAGTTTTAAATTATTTGGGGCAAGGATTTTAGCATCACCAAACTTTTTCTTTGTTGGATTTTCTGTGAGTATAGAGACTGTTTCTTCTTCGTTACTGTAATGCCTGGTTGAATAGTGCCTGTCATGTGGTAAGAACATAGTTTTTGGTGAAGGAATTAATTCAGGAGTATGATTTTGCTTACTTGCATTATTTATTTTCATGTATTTACTCTGGAAATAACTACTAGGAAATAGGTTATTTTCAAGTGTTAATGCTATAGTATAATTATTGATGAGTTTGGGTGAAAAAGTATGATGAGTCTCAGTTCTTGCTTTTAATATGACTATATCATATTCTAGTCTTTGTTTGCTCTTAGAT